AATGTTCGCTTCAGTCAGCCTCCGATAGACATCATTAATCAAATATTCGGTGCTTCTAGAGAAATGATTATCGTCATCGTTGTATCGAAAATAGTATCGCACAAGAAAAAAATCGGCCGTGTGAGAGAGATAACGTCCAATAGAGCCAATGAGTGATAGTAATCAAAATCACTTCTACGAAGCAATGGAAATCAGTTTTTTGCATTTGATACCGACCACCCACTACGATGATAAATGTATCGAACCAAACATTTACTTGTAAACACACACACACACACATCCAAATATCAAATGGCCAAAAAAGTCATGACATCTTTTTAACAGATTTTTAACATTAAAATCTGCAATATTAATGCGATGGAAGGGTCTTGTTTTTTCCAAATTAATGTGTCACAGATTCGTCAATGTGCATGAGAGAAAGGTGTATGTAATTAAATGAAAAAAAAACATCCCTTTCAAAAAAGGATACTGCATAATTTCATCCGTTCTCCATATTAATTCTAACATTTATGGTAATATTCAAAATCACAATATGCTATAATAGACAATGGTCACCTCCAAATAATGTTTCTATAGAACCGAAAAAAAGTTCGCAAACAGAGCCAACAAGTAATCGAAATCACTGCTATTAAGAAACGGTGATAATGATTTAGTATTTGGCGGGAAGGCGCTAAAATGATAAATGTACCCAACCAAATTCATTTGTGTTCACACACAGACACACATCAAATGACTCGAATAATGACATCAGTTTAACGAAACGTCGATTTCGATCATTAATAATTCCGAATACTGAATGAAGTTTTTTTCCCCAAAAAAAGAATGTCGCGCGTCTGCTATTACTTACACAATGATAATAAAAGAGAGCTTTGCCAAGAATTTGAACAAAAAATAATAATTAAAATTGATTGACAAAACAATGAGTTGATGAGGTACAAGGAGCTGTATTGAATGACACTAAATGAAATTTCGCATCGGGGTGCGTATTCATTAGAAAGAAAATGGTTGAGATTGATATCATTTTTCAGCTGCTTTCGTTTTATAAAGTCATATAGTCTTTTCAACGCGCTATTTTGCATATTCACTCCATGCGAGTGTGACTGAATATTAAAAATTAGTCACTTTTTTTTGTGCAAGCTCATTTTGTTCTGACGTCGTGGATGTGATATAATTTATTACATTTTGTGATGAACGAGCGCCTCAAATGCCACCATTACCAATATTTTTGTCTTATTATTTCGAGTAATAAATGTAATCGTTACGAACTTTACACTCTGAATAATTGAGTATCCTTATTGAATTGGCGAAATATATCAACAATGAAGCCAATGAAATTTTCCTCTTAAAGATTACTTCAAAGAGAATATTCAATGCTGGCTGAAAACTGTCGAAAAGTATTTTAAAAATATACCACAAATTATGGATATCAAGCTTATGAATGCTGATTGCTCTATATTTGAAACAATTTTCATCGTTGGCAAATTAAATGAAAAATCAATTCAGACGAAATCTTTCTAAAATTGAAAATGTAGAACATTTGGCCTCTTTGCCGCAGAAAAGTGATACTAAAAACGAGAAAATATCAATACTTATAATTGGTTTGCGCTTACTTAACGGCTTTCCAATGTTACCAGCAATTTCAATCGAGTTTTATTCAATAATTTATTGGAAACCCCCCCAAAACAGAAGAACGAAGTGTGTCTGATAGCGATATGAACATAAGGAGAGAGAGAGAGAGAAAAGAAGCTGAAGTAATCACAATCATTCTCGAATTTCAGTATAGAATACTCTGCCAAATCTTGAGCACTTTCACAAGCATTCTCATTTAACATTGAAGAAGTGGTTAAAACAATGCGAGAGAAGAAAAAAACACGGATGAAATAAAGCAGAGCACGTTCAATAGGTATGCTGAATCTGACGTATTTTCGATTCGCGCTCGGTTCTTATTTCGCCTTATCTGTGACTGAAAACACTTCGATCCTTCGCTTTCTCTGTCTGCATAACATCATTATCCTCATTCCTTTCGGTGCTGCTATTGTCATCGCTTTGATTTTGCGGGTGAATGATTGAGTGAATGCGTCCTTATTATTATTATTGGTTCCTTTGTTCACGTATTATTCTTCTTTTTTTGAAGTGGTGTTTTTTTGCCATTCGTTATTTTTATTATTGTACTTTATTGATTGATCAAAGCATTTCCTAATGCCATTCTGATTGGAATCGGTTTTAAATAACGTTGTTTGGTTTCCATTTCCATTCAATTTTTTCCTCTCCTAATGTGTTCTTTAAAACAAGGGCACGATGACATATCAGCTACATCGAAATTATACATGCTATATATTCATACGCATAACATGATCCTAATGTATTATTACTTTGGAAAATCTTTTCTTTTTTTCCTTGTGTTTTTGACATACCGCACGTTTCTTCGAATTCTAGTAGGTCAGACGAGCTTTTTTCGTAAATGTCATCATTTATTCGATTGCGTTTCCGATATATTTTTTGACTTATTTATTCATCGTATTTGACTTTTACCACCGCAACCACCTCCACCACTTTATTGTGAAATATCAATATTTTTTTTTTCAATTCACTTTGATTCGATGTTATCTTTTTTTTCATGCTATTTGCTATTGATGACACAATAGATTTGAATAACATACATATACATGCACACGGGTACGCATACAATTGTGATTGAAAACAAACCCATATCAAAATGATTAAACAGAATAGAGAAAATGTTAAACGTTTCCTTTGGTGGCACAGTTTCCGTACAATTCCATCGAATTACGTCACAAAAATTGCCTTGAACGAACCAAAAAAAAAACAATAATAATGAAAAAAAATGGAAAGTATAAATACCATACACTGTGACTTCTAGGCACTCTATCTATGGTGCAAGTAAGTTTCTTTTTTTTGCGCAATAGGATAACAAACAAATGATAAATACGATTCGGTCGACATGAATTATTGATAGAACGAAAGGATGTGGATTTTCTCAAAATTGCCTAGGCATGACTTTGATACACAAATACTCCCACTCTCACTACATAGTGGTCTTGCATGTGGCCCGGCTGATAATATGAATGCGACGACGATAGCAATAAGACCGATGAGATTCATATCGTGCCAAAAGCCAAAATTCGCCATTTTAACACGCAAACACCAACACAGACACACAATAGGGGTAAAACGAGTAGTGACGAAAAATAAAAGCGGAAATCATCGTTCAGCCGTCTTTTGCTTTCGGAAATTTTCGTTCATTCAACCAATGTACTCTCTTCACACTGTTCGGTTAAGTAGATTTTTCATTTTCAATCGGTTACTGTTTTTGTTATATATTAGAACGTTGTGATACCGGTATCTTTCGTTTGCCAAAAAGTTAAATTGCTTTGGCATTCTGTTTTCGGTTCTCCCTTCGTCATTTTTTATCGAAAACGATAGAATAATAAACAACTTACGAAATTACTCTTCAGACTTTTCCACCATAATGGTACCATTCCAAAGATCACAACTTTGCGATTACGGCGTCAATTTTAAATGTGAACGAGTTACAGTACAAACCACTCGACGTTCTGAACAAATTTCGGCTTTTTCCTACTAATAAATTTATCAATTTTTGCTTCGATAAATTGTTTTACTTGATTTATTGAGCAGTAGTATCGTTGCCGCTGTCCGCCATCAACCAACCCCTTTTGAATGAAAATTTACAAACGACGAATTTTAAATTGGACGTTTACGGTTCAGGGACTTGAAATTAAAACACAAATTTTTGTCGTTTTTTTTCTTAAATCGAATTTAAAATTTGTGTTCGTTGACACAAACAAAGTTAACATTGACGAATATATATATATATGGATTGGGCAAGCCTGTTGAACTATGTCGTTTGCAATAACGAAAACAGTTAGTTCGATTTCCACACAACGCAAACACGACCATGGAGACAAAAATTGCATTGGCTGCACACCGAGTTGGTTGATTTGCAAGAGAAATTCCATTTACATAATGTTACATATATATATTGAAATTGGAAACAAACCGATGGCGAAAATGTAAGCCACCACAACGGCCGCACACAGCTTCAACATCATAGACCCAACAATAGTGCACAATGAACCAACCGAATATACATTCGTTACAATTTTTTTTGTGTCTGTGTGTCGTTTTTCATTTTCAAGTCTTCATCCGCATTCATTACGAAACATCGACAAAATGTGCACAGAAACTGATTTTTTTCCCTACCTTTTTGTCTTCATTGTCGCTATGAAATGCTGTATGCGGTTCCGTTGTGTATCGCGTCGTTGTTTGTCTATTTATTTGTTGTTGTTGCTTTTTTTTTGTTCATTCATACTTCGCATTTTGTCGAAGAGTGTATGAATTTTCATTCATAACATACAACTCAGGTTGAAACTGTATCAATTCGACTGAATATACATATGCCTTACATGGAGCAGCTTTGGCAAACAAAGCTCCTATTTGCGAAAAAAAGTAATAATAATAACGAATGGTGCGGCAGCACATATAACGCGCAGAGAAAGAATGGCGTGGCAACGAAAACACAGCATTTTATTAAACAATCCATAATTTGCACATTCAACCAACGATTACCCGCTTTCTTTGCACCATTCATTGGTGTATGTGTGGATGTGTATTTGTATGTGCTACAATTTACTGTTATCGTTTCGAGTTGGTTGTGTGTTGTTGTTTTTTCGTTGCTAGTAAGCGTCGCCGTTTTGTATATTATTACACTATCGCATTACAACTGACTATTGCTATTATTATTATTGGCTTTTATTTTTGCATTCAGACATATAAGCACTCGACTCGCTCACACACAAACACCACCGAACATACTTTGAGACAAACACGCAGCCACTTTCGCATTCATTATAACAATGTGTAGCATTCTCTCTATCTCTCCACATTCTGCTGCAGTCTGTTTGACGCTATGCTAAATTTATTAATGAATAATCTCTTTTTTTGTATTGTTTTATCATTAGGTACATGCATTTCATTCGTATGGTTGCAAAGGAACGGCAACGAATCAACGACAACGGAACAAAATTGACGGCGCATTGTTCATTAGAAAAAGGTTTGTTACCACTTAACCACTTCATATATGTATATATAGTTTGTTTTTTTGTAGGTTACAGTTGGTGTTGTTCGTTTTGAGTTGTTAAGTTTTTGAATTAGTTAAATCATAATGTCATAATATGGATTTTAGCACTTTTCTCCTTTCCATTCAATTCACGATTTTATTTAACTATTGAAGCATTTTATGAAATCGTGCTGCCAATCAGTATTTTCAACTAGAAATCACATATTTACCGAATATGAGACCATTAAAAATGACAATTTAGTTTAAAATCACATTCCATCCATAAATGGTGCGCGAATGGAACAAATAAATTTGATTGTACATTTGAAATGTAATAAAATTTCATCGCCAACGACATCATTGTCGTTTGCATTTACTATCGACTTTTCACATCAAAATCCAATTTCGTTTTGGAATTCACACTGCAAACATGGTCTACGACTGCATTTTGCATACTCTCTCTCTCTCTCTGTCTCTCTCTGTCTGTCTGTCTTGCTCTCTCTTGCTGTGCATGCAATTGAATGAACGGGTAATGCTAACAAAAGCCATTCTACAATTTATTATAAGTTAAGTCAAATAAGAACAAAATGCACACAAAGACATCAACTTGGAAATTGAATTGCATCGCATCAAATACGTAGCATATTTTATGGACTTGAGCAGACGATCGCACATTTCCTGTCCCATCGAAACCAATTCCAATTGATTGGCATTGCGCAACTATTTTTCGAACTAATTATTCGATTAATATTATATCATTTAATGCATTCGTAAATCAAATCGTGTTTAAAAGGTCTTTCTCTCTCTCCATTCATATCATTCTTTTACACAATTCATAAACATTTTATAAATATAAGCAAATTGAAAACGACGGACGCAATAATCGTTTGCATCATTATTGTTATTACAAGTCAAATTAAAATGGATTCGTTTAGGTTTTTTTATTTCTACTTGCAACAGAAACCGTATTCGCTTCATTTCCTTCTTGGGAATGAATTTTGTGTTTGGTGAATGTATGGTGTTTTATCGGTGCCAACTTCAAAGACACATATGATATATCATAAATGTATGTTTTCGTAGATTTCTAAACCGAATGTACAAACTTCCGTTGAAATTTTTATTGAGCTGCTGGTTATTTGCCTAGATTTCAATTTCTTCCTTGTTTATGAAATTCATGAGAAACCATTAAATCTCAATTTTGATGCGATTTCTATGTAACCAAAACAATCCATGACTCTCTCATGTTCGTTTACGAGTTTGTGTTTGTTTTTTTTCGTCGTTGTTTTACAATGTTTACTGCTTATACCGTTAAACACAAGCACACACACAAAATGTGTAATTTCAGCACTAATTGTTTTTGGAATGATTTCGCGGATTGGCATCAAGAACACAAACCGAGAATCATACTCTCGATGAAAATGTTTACTGGAGGAACAAAAATATAAATTACAATAATGGAATGCGAAAACTCACAATTTGATTTCATTTGAAACATTTGCAATAAACAAATCTCACATTTTATTTGCATTAATTCATATGAAATGTGAAATCAAATATATAGTCGATGCTGATATCAGCAAAATTGTGCATAAAAGATCTAACAGTCGTAGTTCTTTTTCTTCGCTCCAAGAGCACGTGTATGTGTGTGTTTGTATATGCAATCTAAGCGACAGTTGGCACACTGCGAAAAGGCGCATATAGTACTAAGTAATTACATTTTGGCACTGAAAAGTAAGAATGAGCGAGATAGTTGCTTGTGCATGATGCATGATTTCGCTGATTCAGCAACAACGATGCGAACAGTGCTCAATTTCAATAATTCGGTGGTAATCGCTTTTGAGTTGGAAATTTATTTTAATAATTGAATTTTCAAATAATTTTCGTATGGGTGAACCATGTCGTGTGAGTGGTGCTTGATGTTGAAATGAAGTTGCATTGCCAGTTGTCGACAACCATACGCCAAGGAAAATAGACTACATTCGTCAAGAGTTTCCCACACAAGGGAGACGGATTGAGAGATAGAATGAAAGAGACACATATACAACCATTCATGTTGAATAATATGGGAGAATTGAAATGCTTCATGCACGAAATGCATCCGTCTATATCGTGCAAATTTTGGTGCTAGCAAATATTATAACGTCGATACTATTAGTACTAATGTGAACATAAATTCACTTCATCCGACAGCCACACCGATTGCTGACTGAATACTGCATAAACTTATTGCTTATATGGTTCAATTTCACAACTTACCGAATGAACGAAAAAAGAAACCCACACTGAAATGAAAGGGAAAAAAGGCGTTATGCAACAAAAAACACCACCAACACATTCGTCACGTTCTGATCCACGGTGAATTTCGCATCAATCTTGAACTGAAGTGCATCACTATATGTAATGAAATAGGAAGTCGATGCGAAAGAGAGAGAGAGAGAGAGAGAGAGAGAGAGAGAGAGAGGAAGAGAGTAAGAAAAGCATCTATTGAAAAATCAAAGATTATCGCAAACACTTGCCACATAGTATTTTGGCCCACAAAATATATCGAAAATTTTGGTAATTCAAATGCTGAGTTACAAAATATGATGGGTGTTTTTCATGTGCTTCCGACTTTCAGGGTGTTCACAACAGTTTGAAACTGATTCACTCGCGCGCGCTCATTTTTAACTATACATGGTTTGTATAGGTAATAAGCCGGTTTCAGTATGTTCAAGTGTTATGATTAAGTTTTCAGAAATCCAAGCTGTACGAGATTAATGGATACCAAAATTACTTTACTTTAAGCAAACGAAACGCACCCACACCCACAACACAACGAAGTCAAAAACATAAAAGAACCATTCGATGCGATTTAGATTCATCGAATGAACTTTTGACATAATTTTCATCAAACACATACACACACCACAACAACTTTGCCATTGGAAATTTAAATTGCATGCACATAACAAAAAAAAGTTTTATGCGCATTCCTGTTGAAACATATTAAGCAGTATGTCTCTCACACTTCAACGCTCGTTTGGAGTGACCTTCATTTGCACACGTTTGCCACCAACTGCAAAAATAGACGGTTTGAATTGCAAACAAAACCGAAACGAATTATGAGCACGAAATGTAACGAAAACAACGTTTTTTTTCGGCTTGCGATTTGAACTGTGTATTAAAGCATTTTCGGTCCACAGAGGCTAAACAACAAAATAGAAAGAAAGTTTTGAAAATTTGTCTGCTACGTGGTTTATTAGCGGTAACTGTATGCAAGCAACTCTTTTCATGTCTTACGGCAATAGTTATGAAACAATTGCAAAAAAAACCACACAATCGCAAATAGCGCAGTAACAAAGCGCACACGTAAAAATTCAATTCGCAAAAGTATGAATAAATTGTTTTTTTGTAAGCAAACAAAAACAGAGAGAGAGCCGACAGCACCGTCGAGAAAAAAGAACCGATGATAGAAATAGCAGCAAACCTATACTCGCAATTTCTGGCAAAGTTTTTCAATTTAGAATTAACGTCGAATTTTGTGCTAACGGATGAACGAAACGGATGCATTTTAAATAAAAAAAGAGAAAAAAAAAATAAATTTCCATTAACCTAAAATCGATGCCTGGAATTATTATGCTGAGAGAGACATCAAAAGCAACACAACCACAAAAAAATGTATGTATCACAGAAGAAAAACAATTATGTACCCCGAATCGAAAAATCTCATTAATTTGGTCATTTGAACAATTTGTGGTTGAATCGAAATCAAGTTTGTTATTCGACTGCTTTCAGGCAGAAATAAAATGTCTTACATCCGTAAGATGAACTTTTCCGCACTGTGATCCACGACATGAAAGAAAACTAAATCTGACATTAGTTTTAGATAAAAATAATTTTCGAAGCACTTTTCTTACAAAAACTACTAAAGATAGGAATTTTTGTATCGGAGCCATGCCTATATGATATCGTAATCATGTGAAAATTTGCAGAGGTTATTTTTTTCACAAAAAGTTAACATTCTGAAAGTTTGAAGAAATTTCAATGCATATTAAGGGTACTTCCCATACAAAATTTCGTTTTAGAGCGAAAAATCCAAAATTTTGTTCGGGAGGTCCACCTAATATTCGTTGAAATGTCTTCAAACTCTCGGAATAGTATTTATGTGTGATAAAAATAACCTGTGCAAAAATTCAGCTCATTACGATATCATACAGGCATGGCTTCCATACAAAAATCCAAATTTTTTGAATTTTTTGTATGAAAAGTGTTTCGAAAGTTGATTGTATCGCAAAACTAACGTCATATTCGGTTTTCTCGTACCCAAAAACCCCCCAATACACATTTTTGAGTGTTTAAGAATACATTAAATATCACTTTTGGAAGAAAAATTGAATTTTTCCCATGGATGGACATGGGCATCACACCAGACATGACACTTTACCCTGTCAACCAAAGTCGCTCAAAATCTAATGGTTTCTATTCCTCGGCACCCCCAATCATCCTGTGAAGTCAGATTTTGAATTACTTTTCTTGTTTGAAAGTTATCGTGTTAACAAATTTTTGCGTACAGGGTACAGCGTACAGGGTACAGGGTACAGGGTACAGGGTACGCACATACATTCGGACATCGAAAAAACGCTGGATTCGTGTTCCCTGGCCCCAAAAACACCCAGAAAACACATTTTTTATGGGTGTTAATTTTTCGACCGATTCCAATACTTTACCTTACACACTAGGTGTGTGCGGAAAAGTAAAATATATATTAGAAACCAAATAAATGTTGCATTCAAATCGAATGTAGAATCGTTCTAATAGCCGATTCGAATAAAAACAAATAGCCCGAAAACTCGAAGAAGACGATGATGCAAAAAAAAAACCAGAACATCGAACGCTCCGTTACTTTCGGTCAAAGTAAGATCGAACAAAAAAAGGGGCAACATAATCAAGGAAATTGGATTTTTGTCTTTTTTATCTGTTTCAGTTCATATTGAAGTCATCGGCAATTTCAGCCA